TAAGTTTTTCAATAAGTAACAGGTGTAGTATTAGGAAAAGAAACCCCTCCTCGCACTCATATGATCCTGATACAGAATTGGCAAATTTTTATATCGAATGAAAGCTTTGAAATAATTCTGACAGAGCTAGAAAAAAACCTCTTCGTACATTATGTTCTCCTAGTAGCACGACACCTTTTACATAAGTTTGTCCACAAGTAACAAGTGTAGTATTAGGAAAAGAAACACTTCTTCGCACTCATATGATCCTGATACAGAATTGGCAAATTTTTATATCGAATGAAAGCTTTGAAATAATTCTGACAGAGATAGAAAAAAGACCTCTTCGTATATTATGTTCTCTTAGTAGCCCGACACCTTTTACTTGTGTCGACAAATAACAGGTGTAGTATTAGGAAAAGAAACACCTCCTCGCACTCATATGATCCTGATACAGAATTGGCAAATTTTTAAATCGAATGAATGCTTTGAAATAATTCTGACAGAGCTAGAAAAAAACCTCTTCGTAAATTATGTTCTCCTAGTAGCACCACACCTTTTACATAAGTTTGTCCACAAGTAACAAGTGTAGTATTAGGAAAAGAAACACCTCCTCGCACTCATATGATCCTGATACAGAATTGGCAATTTTTTATATCGAATGAAAGCTTTGAAATAATTCTGACAGAGCTAGAAAAAGACCTCTTCGTATATTATGTTCTCCTAGTAGCACGACATCTTTTGCATAAGTTTGTCGACAAGTAGCAGGTGTAGTATTAGGTAAATAAAAACATCTTCGCACTCATATGATCCTGATACCGAATGGGCAAACTTTAAAATCGAATGAAAGCTTTGAAATAATTCTGACAGAGCTAGAAAAAACCTCTTCATATATTATGTTCTCCTAGTAGCACGACACTTTTTGCGGATAGTTTTGTCGAAAAGTAACAGGTGTCGTATTAAAAACAGAAACACCTCCTCGCACTCATATGATCCTGATACAGAATTGGCAAATTTTTAAATCGAATGAAAGCTTTGAAATAATTCTGACAGAGCTAGAAAAATACCTCTTCGTATATTATGTTCTCCTAGTAGCACGACACCTTTTGCATAAGTTTGTCGACAAGTAACAGGTGTAGTATTAGGTAAAGAAACACCTCCTCGCACTCATATGATCCTGATACAGAATTGGCAAATTTTTAAATCGAATGAAAGCTTTGAAATAATTCTGACAGAGCTAGAAAATGACCTCTTCGCATATTATGTTCTCCTAGTAGCACGACAACTTTTGCATAAGTTTTGTCGACAAGTAACAGGAGTAGTATTAGGAAA